CCCCCCTTCCCCTCCCCCACCCCCTCCCCTCTCCCCCGGGCGGAGGCTCCCAGCAGACGCCGCCTCACAGAGGCTGGGCCAGGCCCGCCTCGGAACCGCGACCCTGCGCTGTGACTGGCTCCACGTGGCGCCTGTGCCCACTTTGGAATGATGCTAATAGATGTGCAGAAAGAAAGAGAGCAAGCTAAGCAAAGCTGGACGCGGCTGCCGCGGCAGAGGCCGGGGAGAGTCGGCAGCACAGAAGGGCCTCTGCCTCTGGCCGGGCCCGACAGCCCTGGGGCAGCTCAGAGGAAGCAAGGACTGGGCAATCCTAGCGCCCCCCAGGGGCCAGGGCCGGAGGGGCCGAGGCAGAGGGGAGGTCTCAGGAGGTATCTGGAGCACAGGGTCCGCCGTGAGCGAGCGCGCGGCCTCCCCCAGCCGGTGGCGGACAGGCTGGGGCCTGGCGAGGTGGGGCCTGCGTGCCGGGAGGCGGGCTGCGGCTCCAGCTCAGAGCTCCCTCGCTGGCCGCCTGCTCAACAGGCACAGCCCACGAAGCCCCAGGGGGCCGGCCAGTTCCCAGGCCTGGGCCCGGACACACTGCGGACACGCTCGGCGCTTCTTGGGGGGCCAGGAGACAAACCAGGGACCGGGCTCGCGGCCGCACGCTCGGCCGCCATGCGTCTCGGGGAAAGCCATCTCTACCGACAGCAGGAGGCCCGGGGGCCGCTCTTATCTGTCCAGCAGCTGCTTCAGAGCCCTTTCGATGTTCATCCTGTGCCCGACGCGCGTCACGCCCAGGTCAATGAGGTCCTCCTTCTGCAGGTTGGGCAGGTGGCTGCCGTCGATCTCGTTGTCCATGAAGGCCTCTCGGTGCTCGCCCAGGTTCAGGCTCTCCAGCCAGTCCGCCACGTCCGGCTTGGTCCACAGGTGGACGGGTTTGGTCGTGAAAGGCTTACTTGAGACTGGCTGTTGCAGTATGGAGGGGGACGGCGACCTGCTGCGCCCCACGGGGTTCAGGCCGAACAGGTCTCCGGACGGGGGCTGGCTCGGGAGGCTGAAGACTTCGGAGAGGCTGGGGGCGGGGCTGGCGGCGGAGGCGGACAGCGGGGCCGGCAGCATCTCTCGGTTCATCTCCGTGGGCGACACCACGGGGCTCGGGGCACGCCTGGTTCCTGAGGTCCTGCTTTCATAGTCGGGGGGCCGGCTCTGCAGGGTGATGGGCTGGGAGGTCCCCGGGCGGACGGTGAAGGTGACCGTTGTGCTCCGCGTCCCTGAGACGGCACTCACAACCTCTGGGCTTCTGAAACGGCAACAGCAAAGGGCGACGTCACCGTGGCCTGCGCAGGGCGGGGGCACCCGGTCACCCCGGGCTTGGGGGCAGGTGCTGGCCGGGGCGCCTGAGCACGCGGACAGCCGGCCCCGCCCTGGCCCTGTGAGGACAGAGTCGAGGGGAGGCCGGGGCTGGCAGGCCTGCCCAGGGCACCACTGCCCGTCACCACAGGGGTACCCCAGGTCGGGTGCCTTCCACAGGGGAAGGAACAGCAGCCGAGAACGCAGCCCCTCCACTGCCCCCACCTGTGGCTCTTTGACCTGAAGAGTCCGGGGAGGACACCCTGTGGGTCAGCACCTCTGCGGGATGGCACTCGGGGCACCCGCAAACCACCTTTTGGGGAACAGGGCTGCCGTGCCAAGTTCAATCTGCCTGACCAGCTGGAAGGGGGGGGATGGTGCTGGCCGTCCACGCGCCTGGCCTGAGTGGAGGTGACGCCCGAGGCTTGCTGGTGGGACCTGCGCCTTTCAGAAGCCTGAGGAGTGCGCCACTCCGGTGCTGGGCTGCGTCTGCCCTGCTGGCTAGTGGCCTGGGGGGTGATTGACCAGCAGGACCCGCATGGGGAGCCAACAGACTGGGCCTCCCTTTAGGGCTGGGCACTCTGAATCAGGAAGGGGGAGCCCAGCCGGCGCCAGGGCCTCCCTGCCAGAATGTGTACCTCTGGGGTGCAGGCCCAGGGTCCCCAGAGAGCGGGCGGGGCCTGTGAGGGCACAGGACGGGCGCAGCTGGGCACGGCCCGCTCAGGCTGTAGCTGCCAGGGGACCAGCCCACCCTGCCGCCGAGGGGTGCGCCTGTGTGGGGAAAGGCTCAGATGCGACAGTTCAGCTGAGATGGTCAAACTCAGGGTGCAGCATGTGGCCGCTGCTGCCGGAGGTGACTGGGCGTTCCTCAGGGAGCGTCCGGGAGACGCCCGTGAGCGCACGGCCGCCCAGCAAGAGTGGCTGGGCC